GAGGAAAAAAACACCGTGGAGCTTATCAAGAAATTTTTTGGCAAGAAGTCAGAAGACTTCATCATTGTTATATTTACCAGAGGAGATGATCTTAACAACCAAACTATTGAGAGATACATAGAGGAAGACTCTGTGAACTTTGTCAAACAACTGACTGAATGTGGAGGAAGATACCAGGTCTTCAATAACAAAGATCAGAAGAATCGTTCTCAAGTGAGTCAGCTGCTGACCCAGGTTGAGTCAATGGTGAGGGAAAATGGCACTGGCTACTACACCTCAGAGATGTTCAGAGAGGCAGAGGCAGCCATACAAAAGGAAACGGCAAAAATACTGAATGAGAAGGAAGAAGAAATAAAGAGACAGAAACGAGACCTTGAAAGAAAACATGAAGAAAAAGTACGAGTGAAGATGGAAAAAATTGAACACGACAGAGCAGAGAAAGACAAAGCACTCAAGGAAAAGGAGAAACACATTAACAAAGAGCAGGAGAAGAAGAAAAAGGCAGAGGAGAAAAGAGCAGAAGAGCAAAGGGAGAGTAAAAGGCAAGAAGATTTTCAGCGACAGCAGTGGAAACAGAAACTTTTAGCTTTGGAGAACAATTTTAAGTATAATTCAGAAAAAAAGACAACTGTTCACAGTAAGGTGATGCAAAACAGAGAAGAAATACAAAAAGAACAAGAGGCTTGGGAGAAGGAACGAAAAGAATGGTGGGAGAAAAGCTATCGAGAAGATCAACAGAGACAAGAGGAAGAGAAAACACGACTGAAAAAGCTCAGAGAAGAATATGAGCAGGACAAAAAGGAATATGAACACAGAAGAAAAGAGGAAGATCGAATCAGGAGAGGACAGGAGGAAAAAGAATGGAAAGAATTACATGTAAATTTTCAGAAGAAAGTAGAGGAAATGAAGAAGAAAAATGAAGAGGAGGCCAGAAAGCAAGCTGAAGAATTCAATGAATTCAGACACAGATACACCAAGGACTTTGCAACTCTGGTGGAAATGCATGACAAGGAAATGGAGGACTTGAAGCAAAAGCAACAAAAAAACAATGACCTCATGATAAAACAACTGAGCTTGAACAAACTGTACCAGAAAAACTTTGATAGATTGAAGAAACAACAAGAACAAGAAATGAGAGCACTAAAACAGAACCTTCATACTACCCAAAACAAAGAAATCAATGAACTAAAGGAGGCACATGAAGAAGAAATAAATACCTTGATCCAGGAACATGTGAAGAAAGCCACAGAAGACAATTCATGTTGCATTTTATGAGATGCTTTCTTACAACAGCAGCAAGGTTTTCATTGCAAGACTGCTTGCTTTTTGTATTGGTGGACCTACGTTGGTATAATGTTTGCACTTAAGGACTTTTGTCAAGTATAACAACTGCTACATTGGAGATAATGACAGACACTAAAGAGGTACTCCACCCTAAAACATGTTTAATTGAACTGTAAACTGAATAATATGATTTTGTGGTATAAAAATGCCTCAACATGCCCTTTACTTAAATCACCCTTTGCGTTTTAAGACAAATGCTGAGATAGAATCAACTCTACTTCACAACATTTATATATATAAAAAAGAAAAAGCCTCTGCTTTGAGTGGAAGTCTGTGAAACTGCTGCGCTAATTTTCATATATATATTGATCGAGACGCATCATCGACAGTAGTTTATGCTAGTTTTGCTAACCCTTTACGTTGTATTTTTCTATTCTGGTGCAGTGGTTCAGACTTGTGCTTCAAACAACTGTAGAAGCACCAATGGACTGCAATGTTAACCTTGATCCCACACATTGACAGACACACAAACATACCAGAGAGTTGGCCTCTATGAGCCGCTAGATCAGCTACAAAACAGGTACCACACATGTTACGCTACTGTGGTCAGTCTGTCAATCACTCCAGTCGATGTGGAGGACACGCCCCTAAACTCACTGTCCTTTGCTCTCTGATGCATTTTTTATATTTACTGAGAGGGGGGGCTAGCAGAATTGATGGGTGTAGCTACACTTTAAATAGATTAAACATAATCTCCTGGAGTGTGTGATGCAACCTAATTTCAAAAGAGTTCTTAGTCACCGACAACATTTTGCAAACACTGGGGCTCTTGCAGGGTCACTATTTACAAGACTACAACTAGATTATTTTTAAGATTATTTCCCAACAAGTTGCATGGCGGGAAAGTCACATATAGTGTGTGCATCAGTATGGTGATTTATGAAAGGTCCCAGCTTTTTACCTTCAACAATGACCCCCCTGCGTTAACATCTGCTTTGTTTTCCGTCACACCGTTGGTCCCTCATATGTTTTTTAATAGAATAAAAATGCATTGTGTTCAAGGCTGCATTATTGCTTCTTTTTGCTGTATGTTTTTACTGCAGAGAATGTTTCACTGCTTTGCTTTGTTTTACATAGAATAAATGCAATAGAAAGCATAATGCAAAAATGTGTATTTATTCAATTCTTTGTATAAAATAATAACACTGCACAATAGGTAAAAATAGTGCACAGAAGCGCAATACCTATTACAGTGAGAACATATATATAACATATAAAAGGCACATTCATCGCAAAATGTGTTATTCTTATTCAAATCTACACAGACTTGTGCACAACAGGCAAATAGTTATGTGCTGCTATATTAAAGTTTCACACATCTATATAATATTTGTATATGCTTGTTTTAACACTGAACAATGGTAAATTAAGTAAGGGTTTTAATCACTTGTTTCTTCTAGACACTATGATAAGTATTCTCTATTTTGAGCATAGTCCATGAGTTTGCTTTACAGAAATACTACACTATTAAATTATTATTATTGAAATTTTAGTTTAGTTTGGCTTAATCCAATGTTTGAGACCACAACCCACTGCTCCTTTTATTATTGACTATGACCATTTTATCATAGACAAGTAAGTAAATTAAGTAAATTGCTGATGACCTATGAAAAGCAGCAAGTTAGAAATGATTCCACTTACCTATTGTAATGTAACTATTAATGAAACAATATTACATACACCTGTGCACAAGATTCTGCATGCTCACAGAGGACCTCTCAATAATTCTTTGTATATAGGCGGATTCACAACACACCTTAAGAGGTGTGGATAATTTATTTAGCCTAACATGTACATTTCAGTTTCATTGTATTGTTTAATAACATATTTACCTGTGGCTGCACC